CTTAAACTAAATTTGACCAAAACTGAAATTCTGGTCTTTCCTCCCTCCAAGTCAACTCCAAGTTACTCCTGTGTCTGTCTCCCTCCAAGTCAACGGTGCTACCATCAGCTCCACCACGCAGGCTCGCTGCCTAGGTGTTCTGTTTGACTCCGACCTCTCCTTCAAGCCTCATGTTCAATCTATCGCCAAATCCTGTCATTTCCATCTCAAAAACATTGCGCGCATCTGCCCCTACTTAACGTCAGATGCGACTAAGGTGTTGGTCCATTCCACTGTCCTTTCTCGCCTTGACTACTGTAATCCGCTTCTCAGTTGTCTTACGTGCTCCCAACTAGCGCCGTTACAGTCCATAATGAATGCGGCGGCGAGGCTCATCTTCCTGTCCGCCCGCACCTCCCATGCCTCACCGTTCTGTCAGTCCCTACATTGGCTTCCTATAAAATATAGAGCTCAATTTAAAATTCTGGTTCTTGCTTTCAAATCTCTACATAATGCTGCTCCCACCTATCTATCCTCCCTTATACACAAGTATGTCCCGTCTAGGCCCTTACGATCTGCTGAAGACTTACGTCTATCTTCTGTCCGTACTCCCACCTCTGATGCTCGCCTTCAAGATTTCTCGAGGGCTGCACCGTTCCTGTGGAACTCGCTTCCCTCCTCCATTAGATGCTCACCCAGTCTCCACTCCTTCAAAAAATCGTTAAAAACCCACTTCTTCATAAAAGCGTATCAATTAAACTGTTAATAGCTCCTGACTGATTCCTCTTCTGCAACTGTCACTAGTCTAATACTATCCTTACCTTTTTGTGTCATTTTACCCCACTCCCTCTAGCATGTAAGCTCATTGAGCAGGGCCCTCAACCCCTCTGTTCCTGTGTGTCCAACTTGTCTGGTTACAACTACATGTCTGTTCATCCACCCATTGTAAAGCGCTGTGGAATTTGGCGGCGCTCTATAAATATAATAATAATAATAATAATAATAATAATAAATGTCACATTGTTTCCCACATACTTGTATGGGATATCGTTTTAACTTGTATTTACATATATTGTTTATTGCGCTGTATGGTATGGACAATAAAGCTTGTTCAGTCACACGTGACGCAGTGACGTCACCACTGCAAGGCGGAAGTGGTATGAGAGGCGGAAGCAGTCCACAATAGCCGCCAATCTGGATATTTAAACGAAACCTTCTCATCTGTCATTTGCAGGGGCCTTCGAAGGGACGTGGATGTCCCAAGCGCGCAGCCCTTTTAGCTGCCTCAAGCTGGTTTACCTGTTGCTGCTCAGCTGATTCCGTTCAGGATCGTTTTGCTGTGGATCGGTCTGACTCACCGTGTATGAGGACACGACTTAAAGATTCAGGAGGACTCTCTTCCTGATTGCTTCATTGATTTATCCCTTCTACAACCTGGGAAAACCCTCAACACTATTACAGCCCATTCCTGCAAAGACATCACTATTTTTGGTGACATCCACCCACATATAAAGCAATTTTCTGTGCACTAATCCTCAAAATTGGACTGCCTTATAAGATATTTTTTCTTATTTTTTGCCTATTTTTTTCTCATATTTCCTTATTTTCTTATTTTTTTTTCTTATTTTTTACCCTTTTTCTTTTGTTTTGTCACATTTTTCATTATTTGCTATTAATAGCATTTTTTCCTTTTTCTCTTTTTATTTTATTTTTTCAAATTTTTCATTATTTCTTGTTTCAAATTTTCTTAAAGGCCTAGCATTACTCCAGTAGGTGGTGGATCCACCTAGGATATTTTATCCCCACACGTATGGGATATCAGGGCTGTAATTATTTGTATATAAAGCATTGTACATATCATGAACTTGTACTTGGTGTATTATATATGAAATTATGAAGGGATGGTCAGTGGTTGTAAATATTAGTTGTAAATATTATGAATTTCTCTCTATGTGTAAGATATATTAAATCAGGATAAGGTTACCATCACCTTTAGCAACTTTTTGTATTACTCTGGGTTAGTACACAATAAATTATTTTTTTCACAAACCCATCTATGAATTTCTCCATAGCATGCATATTCTATGCATAGAGTGAGGTATTTATGTTTAATTGTTGTACATATTTTCAGGTTGGATTGGGGTTAACCTCGAATACCTGCACCTACATGTGATTGAGTGCCAGCACAATTCAGAATTTTTCTATAATCTAAAAACCGCTAGCTAAATCTGCTGTTCTCTTTTCTACTGCTTTTGCATTCCCTCACTTTCTAACACCACCCAGACTTTCTTTGTACGGTCTTCATGCATTAGGAACATTATTCAGTCATGTTCAGTTTAAGCAATGAAGTTTTATATCTGATGCTAATATTACTAGAGATATTCTAGCATTTCCTGTTGCTTTCAACCCTAATCTTCCATGCCAGTTGTAAATGCATGTGTTTATCATCCTCCTAAAAATTCCACATGTAGGTCTTTTTAATGTATGTCTTAAATCGCCTGTCTTTTCCTATGTATTATGTACGGCATCCAACATCTCGTTTTAATTGGCTCAGCGGGTATGTATTATATGATGTTTTATAAGTATTTATATACAGGTTCTGTTCATCATTTCATAAACTAGATAATTATTAGTAACTATCGGGTTCTCTACCATCTCATCACCAACATGTCTTAGTTGCATACACAAACTCCACAACCATTCTCCGATTCACATCCTACCTTCATCTGCATTAATCCCAACACAGCCCGCACAGCCACCCTGTAATTCGGGATACAAATCGTGCAACCTCCTGGTTTTATACTCTTATCTCCTACTCCTGGTATCACTATGCCTTTACAACTTGTGTTCATCTGCCCTGCAGTGGGCAACCTGCCACAGGCAAATTCGGCACCTTATTTGGTCATTTAATTTGCATTATATCTCTTACTAGAGTTGCCTACTACCCCATCATACTACTTGTTGCTGTCAACATACCTATCCTTAACACCCTCATTGGGCCATATCTCGTGGGGTAACTGAGCACAGGCTGCCCCTTCCTCTGGGCTGAGACTGTCTGGTTCAGCTCACCCACTACTCCCTTTATCAACCCATTTAAACTGGTAGGCCCTCTTTTTTACAGGCCTACCTGAACACTTATAATTAATCATATATATGCATTATATATGTATAATATATTATAAAATGATTTAATTATAATATACATATATAGGAAATAAAAGTGTGTGTGTGTGTGTATATATACATACACACACACACACACACTCACACTCTTATTTCCTATATATCTATAATATATTATTAAAGCATTTTACAATATATTATATATATATTTGTGTTCGGGGCATTCTCATATGATATAGAATAAGATGGGTTGTAGAGATG